GGCCCTGAGGAAATATAAGACTCCTTCTGCATTGTGGTTGTGATTATACAATTATGCATAGTTCCTGTTCCAGCGAAGGAAAAGATTGCTACCAAAGAATATAAACATTGTCTGCAAGAATGCCTTTTAATTTTAATAATAATTCTAGCTTTTTGGGGGTTTTCTTTTTGAAGCAAGGCCTCATTGGAGAGACTGCAAACACTATATTATTGTAAGAAAAACGAAGGTAAATTCATGAGGAAAAAATACATCTTATTTCTAAGTGCACACACACCGTATATATAGGTAGGTAGCATGCAGCGAGCACACACACACACACACACACACACCACATTTTGATCCAACGCTCTGTGATCTGATTTTGAATGCAGCATCTTGTTTGATGTCTTTTTGATGATGGACATGAAATAATGTCCAAATCACCAGAGGCTGGAACATCAAACAGTTCCAAAATGAAAACACGGTAATGTCTTCTCGGACCGAGCCTTATTGCGCCTTCATTTGCCACTGCCCCATGGAAGCTGGGCTTTGACTGCGCGCAGATAAAAGATGAGTTGATAAATGAAGCACTTTCATCTCCAACAAACTTTGACAACTTTTTTTTTTTTTTTCATTTGCAACACAAACACCGCACGGCTAATACGGCGCATCATAATAATAATAATCAGATAATGGCAGACGGTAATGTCAGCAACTCAGCGAAAAGTCAAAGGTGGAAGGAGTGTCTTTGAAGAGGAAGAATGGCCGGAAATCATCACAGCGGCACGAGGAGAGCCGGGGAAATGCTCATCTCCCCTCCCTTAGTCTATTGGGGGGGGAAAGTACAGGATCATCTATATATTGTTCAATTTCAGAATCCAATATTCTTTAAGATAATAGGGTGAGAGCGCTAATACAGAGCACAGGTGACTTACTGATAATGAACCAATATATATGCATCATGCAAAACTGATCCTTATGCTTGGCAAAGGAAGCTCAGCACATTTATTCATCATAATTTGGTCCATTATGAAACACAGAAGGAGGAGGAAGCATCCTGGCGGTGACATCACACGTGTCCTGGAGGTACAGCCTCGCCTGTTGTTAGCTGTCATGTCAGCTCTCCGGTGTTTATAATAAGGAAGCTCTCACAGACAATACCGGCTCATTCCTGGTGAACCGTGAGCAGGTCATCAACTTCGCGTTTAATTTGATTTATACGTGAGGGGGGAAAGCCAAGTTTCTGTATGATTTACAGACGGGTTTGGTGTCTCTCAGGGCTTTTGGATGACGCTCTGTAAACCGAGAGGCTAATGTTCAAACAACAAGGCAGAGAGCCACAGTGGACTCAGAGCTTTGTCTTGGCCTCCACGTTAGTCTCTTGACAGCAAACTGGCACCCAGCTCCGGTTAATAAAGTGCACCGCCCAGATCCTGCAGCGGCCGCATGGACTGCATGTCTGCTGAGTGTGTGTGTGGCCGGTTAGAACTGGATACTCCTCGGAAAGCCACGGATGAAAGATGTACTGAATGCTAAATCTGCTAAATCTATGATGGGAGTGTCATCTGCTCTGTCTCCCCCTCAGACGATGTGCAACAATTCGGCACATGGAATGATTTAGACACACAGGATGATCAAAAATGATTATGGCATGTCTTGTTAAACTTGCATAATTACTGTCACAGCACATTCTTACAGTGGCAGTCAAAGACAATGGCTAATGATATTCTTTGTTTTTCATCAGCAGATGCCGCAAAAAGAGCAAAACCAACCGATCTGCTAACAAGTGTTGCCCGTGTAGCCTGATGGAGCGTACTCCTCCGTGCCACAGGGTCGAACCGTTGTCCAAAAACTATTTGTCTCAGTTGCCGTGGAGCGATCGTCAAATGAAGATCGGCTGTGCAATTTTCTCCAAATATCTCCGAACAAGTGATGCAGAGCAGACGGATTTGTGGCCGTAAGAGATTAAACTGATTTTTCTAATGATATTCTCAGATGTGTCCATATCGGCATGATCGCTGCGTAAACACTCACATGCAACATGCTCGAACCGACGTCATCGCTTCTCAAACATAAACATTTCGCAATAAAAAAATCGATAGCAGATGGATCTCTATTAGTTCTGAGTTCTTGCTGCAATCTATCGCATCCTGTCAGATTCAGTTTGCACGCCGAACTCCTGAGCTGACATTTCTCACAACACGGGGATGGGTTTTTTTTTTTTTTACAAAAGGTACCGCTGCAAGTGGACACAGAGAGCAGAGAGACAACAAACGCAGAAGAAAGGATGCAAACATGCACAGAGGATGAGACAGAATGAGGACAGAGACAACATGTTGCTGTGAGAACGTCACGGCACAGAGACGCGTGGGGGAAGGTTTTGTTTTGTGCGTTGAAAAGTCCAAAATCCGATGAAATGCCGTCCCCGGGTAGATGGTGATTCTCAGGCAGCCGAATAGACGCCGTTTGTATGTTGGAATTCCATTTTCATGTCAAGTAGTTTCTTATTTGTATGAGTTTAAAGCTGCAGTTACAGAGACATCCGGATAACCTGTCCGCAGCTGACACCTGGCCGGACGTATGGAATGCTAACAGCATCCTCCAGTCCGGGGCTGTGGGCGTCTGGTCTGTCTCTACTGGGTCGAACGTCTCTCTCACTACATCCTTCTAACAGCATCGGGCTGCTTGAAGTCTCCCATGGACAGGAAATTGTTCTTAATTTGAGAAGCATCTCTTCACCCTTTAGCAGTCCATTCAGAGAAAATATTCAACTCCAGTGCCACTCTTTCTCTCGCTGATGGGATAGAAGTACCACCCTGTGCATGCACGCTATATTTGATATTTCATCTCCTGTGAGTCTTCGAGAAGTCCTTCTGTGTGCAGCACAAGGTGACACGGTTCTTTCAAGACGCCGCCGCCGTGTCTGACGTCCAACAAGGCCAACCTGTTCGTCACCAGAGCCACGCCGCTCCCCAAAGCCTGCAAACGTCTTTGTTTGCTGCCGTTTCAATGGCGCACCGCTTGACTCCGACTGCATCACGAAGTCAACCCACGGCTCCTTAGCAGGGGTGCGTTGGCTGACCAAGGGCATGATGAGGAGCTGCAGGGCATGTGTGTGGGAGAGAGTAGAAATATCATCATCCCACCATTCAAAGCCTATGAAGGAAAGGAACAGGTCCTGCTGGGAGTCCGCATTAGTCGGGTAGGAGGTCAGCATCCATCCACGGACAGCGTATTGAGAACAAAGAGCGGGTGATGTGATTAGCCCTTTCTGCTACGCTCATCTTGGACGTAAACACCATGGGCGTCCTCAACCCCAACGTCAGGGTGGACAAACAGATCGCCTACTGACCTCCGGGGAGTCCAACACCTCTACAACTGCATCCTAACTGGACGGCACAGTGCTCTTTTCCTCGCATGACTATGAGAACCTTCAGAGTCAACAGGCTTACGTGGTATGTGGGTGGGAGAGGGCGAAGGAGCTGCTGTTGCGTCGAGAAGCAAGCGTTGGTCTTTGATGTTGAACTCTGAGGAGCATGTACCACCTGGTTACCTGTTTGTCTCCATGTCCCGCAGACCCAATTTGATGCCTTTGGACAATAACGAGAGCACAAAGGTGTCGCAGGAAGAGCTCGAGGAGTTCATCAAGCTGCAGGTGGCAGATGGCAAAGGTTGGACTGACCAAGCAGCAGGTCATCGCTGTCATGTTCCACATCGAGGGACGATCGCCGCCAATGAGCTCGTATCCGATGCGAGGGAGGACAAAGAACAGGCGAGGCACCAAGAGCCGCGACGAGGTCACAAATGCTTTCATTCCTTTTCGGGGACGAAACCCAAACACCTAAAAAAACAAACAGTGGGAGACTTCATCGGAGCGGCGCCGCGGTTTAATGTTTTCCGCAGCACTTTTTTTTTTTGAAAAGACAAGAAAATGACGCAAAAGATCTTTTGTGAAGTTGGGTGATTGTTTGTGCTTGATAGCTGTATTTCAGAAAGAAACAAACACCTTTAGTTGTTGCTGAAAATCATAAATTAAACTGTAGGGAGGAAAAAAATAAAAAAAACAGGTAGTTGTTTGCCAGATTGTCTTTGTGACAGTAATACCCAGCAGTCAAGCTTTGCAGTCTTTCTTGTTTATAATCCTCATGTATTCCTGTTTCTAGCTTGTTTTACTGGAGAATGACTTTTGCCTGTTCTTGTTTTTTTTTATTTTATGCTCTCATCTCCTTTTGAGAAGCTTCACTTGTACTTGGACCTTTTTTTTTCTTGCTAGCTCCCTGCGGTTTGTTTCCCTGCCTGGACATTTTTTCTAATCTTGTTCATCTTCTTTTTTTTTTTTTTCTATCTCTACCTGCCTCCTTTGTCCTGCGTTCAGCTCCTCTCCACTTTGAAGCGAACTTGTTACAGACATAATGTATTTACAGTGAATATGGGACATAAAAGAAAGGTGAACGCTGACAGCGAGAAGCCTGTGAACCGTCTGCTAAAACTGGAAGTGTAGGAGATCGTTTGTCTGCAGTATAGAACATTTGAGCTGCTGCCTGTGAATCTCACTGAAGCATTTTATTAAATCTAAAGAGACTCTTTGTTTTGGCACTGTTGAAGTTATTGATTCTTCTTTTTTTTTTTTCTTCTTATCTTTGATGCACAAGTTGGACAAGTGGAATGTTTTAACTGCAAATATCTCAGAAGAAGCCGGCGGTTGCACTCGTTGCTTCTTCGTTACGATGATCACTGTTTATTATAAATCAGTCCCGCCGCCATAAATCTTTACCAGTACACCAAATGTGCATTACTCCACAGCTGAAAACAGCTCTCAACAAACCCACGATTTATTACTGTTTAAGTTTAAAACTCCACAGAGTCCAACTGTTAAAGCAAATTGTTTGACTTCTTTTAAAAAAAACCTCTTTTCATGGGATTTACTGACAAAACCAAAACTGTCGAATACCCTCAGTCGTCTTATTTTAACCCCACGCATGCATCATTGCAGATTTATTCGCCAAATAAGCAACCAGATGTCTGCGAACAAGAAAAAATTTCACATTTATTTGATATCAAACAGGAGTTGAATTAAATATCAGCTGATGATGGGCTCTTACAAAAGAAATAAAATGAACCTAATCAGTGCTGCAACAACTTTTCACACTTTCCAACCATGATCTTTTTTTTTTTTATTCCTTCTCTCCTTCTTCTTCTTCTTTTTTTTCTGAATAGTTAATAAATTAATTAGTGTCAAAAGGATGAAAAATGTCCGCAAAAAACCGCAATACCGCATTGAACGTAAGTCCTCGAACCCCCGACAATTTTCTTTCAAGTAAAATAAATTACAACGAGGATCCGATTCACTCCAAATCTGTGCATGGCCCGGTGTTAACAAATATACTACCGCCGAAAAAACTCATCATTCATGAAAAGCAAAAAAGCACTTCACAAGCAGAGACGTGAGCATGATTTCATATGGATTGATATCTCTCAAAACTTTTTTTTTTTTTCCTTTTTTTTTCATATTCAAACATACTACAACAAGTCAAGTGTGAGAGGAAAAAGCACATTTCCACCATTTTGATTAACCTTGTCTGAAGAATCTTATTAACATTGAAAGGGCATAACTACTGAATGGTTGCTGTTTCTTTCTTCTTTTTTTTTTTCAGTTTTTTTTGTTTTGTTTGACTTTTTACACTAGTGGTACAGCAAAATATATTTTCTTCAGCTGTTACTTTGACAACAGGTAAATGTGCAATAGAGAAAATATAAGGCCTGAGTCTGAATTAGTGGTTTCTTAACTTTACAGTCCTGACTGTGCAGTGGAGCCACACTAGTTCATGTTCTGTACTTCTCGACTAAAAAGACCCTGGTTCTGCAAAGTCCCCCAGGAGTATGTCAGGAGCTTCATAGTTCTTTGCTTGGAGTATTTTTTTTTTATTATTTATTTTTTTTTATCCCTTATTCTTCCGTTCCTCTTTCAGTACAACAGAAACGCCAGACTTATCTCTGACACGGCGGCCTGTGTGTTATTCTCTGCACCTCTTTAGTCCAACAGCAGAGCGTTCACAGTCCACACTTGTCTGGCCTCAGATGGATGTGTTTTGTGTGTTAATGAGATCTGTGTGCAAAAGTCATTTATTCATTCCTTTTCCCACCCAACAACTTTTCACCTCCTGTCCTAACAGGAAGGGCATGTGGAGTGCGGAGCCGGCCTCGTCGGCTCTCTTGACATCAACCGAAAGCGCCCATCTGTTCAAACCTGTGCAAACAAAGGCGGCCCACTCAGAGGCTGGTAATGAGTTGCATTTGTCCGTCGCTGGGCGCCTCTCCTTCCTGCGCACAGTCTTCGTTGTTGGGCGGGATGATGCACCCGTCGCTGGTGCCTCGGTTTATGTGGTAGTAGGACAGCGGCTGCGGCGCGTCGCCGAGCTCGGGCATGCTTTTATGATACGCGTCCTCGCTCTCGCTTTGGGGCGAGGGAGAGAGCTCGTCCTCCTCCTCCGGGGGGTACGGCGAAGCTGAAGGCGAGGGAGAGTCTCTCAAGTTTGGCATGCTGGTATAAAGGGAGTCTCTGTTATTGTTGGGTGACTGGGAGCCCATGTCCTCCACTGCGGTAACAGTCTCGGAGCCATGGCCATTCTGCCCCTCGAGGCGCCTGGGGGCCTTCTGGGCGCTGTAGAGCAGGGAGTGAGTCCTCTGGGGCAGGAGGGGGGCCTCCAGCGCCTCCTTGTGGTGGGGGTGCAGGAGCAGCTCCAGGGTGGCGTGGCCTCCTCTTCCACTTCCTCTCTGGGGGGATGAGGCCTCGGCGTGATCCGCCACGATGGCGTCATCCTCGCTGCCGCTCCCACCCCCACCTCGGTCCACTGTCACCCTAGTCTGGGGAGGCAAAGCTCTGTCCCGCTCCCTCGGGGCGTCGCGACCTTTGGGAGCCCCGCGGGGCCTTAGGTTGTTGTGGACAATCTCAGATATGATCATCTTCTCAAAGGCGGCATCGTCCAGGTTGAGGCCCCCCAGGTCACCCGGGGCTCGAACGCCCACGGCCTCGTAGTCGTCGTCTCGCAGGGAGTAGCTGTTGTTGAAATTACCATTGAGGGGGAGGGTGTCCATGGCACTGATGTCCCTGCTGTTGCTCAGAGAGTGCTGTCCTGAAAGAAAAGGCAAAAGGAGCAGGTGAGACATGAGTTTTCCCCGTTTGAGAGAACAATACAGGCTCCACTACACCATCCACATGTACTTGATACTGCTCAGGACACTTCACTCTTGTGCTCTTTGATCTCAGGGTTAATTTTAATTTTATACAAAATACAAAAGCTTTTTAAAATTCAAAGGAAACCCAATTATCTTCCCACCATGTCCATCCTCATTATTGCTGAATATCATTATAGCCAATCTAAGAGATTATCCTGAACAATATTGGAGAAATGAGAACAAAAGATGACTTTAAACTGAAAAAAAAAAAAGAAATATATAGAACGGCAACACGTTGTAAAGTAGCTCATGACCAGATAACAACACAGCAGCGGATAAACGGCCAAGGATGGGAAAGAAAAGAAGAAAAAAAAGAGAAAAGTACAAGCTGATGAGGAAGTGTTGTGACATTAACAATGAATAAAACATTCCACCTGTTAAAAGAAGGCAAGACAAAAGAATAATGTCAAACACAGATGGCCAGCCACCTCTCTGCACTGGGGCCCCACGAGCACAGCAACAGCCCCCAAACACACACACACACACACACACACACACACACCACACACACCACGACAGACAGGCACGGTGCAATGACTCACTTTGCCACCACTCACATCAAGTGTGTCTGCTCAGGCTATCTGGCCTAAGAACAGCTGATTTGCAAAAAAAGTAAAACAGATGCTTTTTTTCAATTGCAGCAGAAACAACAAAATCACTGAAATAAGAGAAAAGTGGAAGCTCGTAACATCCAGCCTGGATTCAGTCCGTCCAACTCCGATTGTGTCCTTGCAATTAGCCGTAATTCCGCCCGTGTTATTATGCTTTTTTTTTATTTTTTTTTGTTGTTGCGCCAATTGTTGTAGGTTAGATGTGAGATTGAAAGTGGTGCGTTTACCAGTTTTGAGAAAAGGACAAATCAAGGACAACTGAATCCTGGACTCAGCAGGTGAAAGGGTTCAGCAGCAAGCACAGTCTACTTCAAAAATTCTACAGCACAAGAAGGAACATTTCCTGATGAAAATATTTCTTTCTGAATGACTCATGATGCTTTTCTCCTTCCTGAAGTCTATCAATTTTTGTGAACAAAACACACACACACACAGAGGCATACAACAGATTACTCTAATTTCCTGCAGCCCTATGACTAAACTCAAGTAGCAGGATGAAAGTGAAAAGGGCTAGTTTGATTTGATGAGGATTTTTTATTTACTGGGTACGCTGCGAAGCGGTAAGTGAAAGGCTGACATTTTGTAGGGTGAGGGTGGTGTCGTCACAGGCAGTCTTTGCACACACACACAAAAAAAAAGGGGAAACCGTAGTCTTGGTTTCAAACGAAAGTGTCAGAAAATGGATGATAGCAACTGAAAAAAAAAAAAGCTCTAAAAACAACATCAAAGACATTTCTAAAAAGAGTGAAAGGAGCGCAGAGAGCAAAAGGGCAAAAAGAGGTGGTGCTGCCGGTGGTGGAGGGATTATTAGACACTTCTCTGAATAGACGCCACTTCCACATTTGCATTTGTTTATGCGCGGGCTGTGATTTTATTGCAGACAGGTATTGTCTACTGGGAGAAAGGGGAAATGATGTGAACAGAATTCAACTGGACATGGCGACAGCTGCACTCTGGGAACCGTTCCAGCAGAGATTCATCCAAGATGTTCTCCTTACCGATTTTACTGCATCGGACGAACATCTGCAGAGTATTACTTCGTATTAATACACTTATAATAGAAGGCACGCTCATCCTTTTGCAGGAGCTAAACGTAATGACTATAGCAGGCGAAATTTAGAATCGGCTCGTGTAAAACTTGACAGTCTCTCTGCACGTATTTCACACTCGGTTGCTGATCTTCACACCAGGTTTTGACGTTTGTGTGTCACCCTGCCGCCTGCTCTCCTCAAACTAGTTTCCATATGTTAAGTCCTTGAATTATTCCTGTTTGTCGTCGCTACCCGCGCCGCCGTTTAAGAAGTAATATTTCCTCTGTAGCTCTGGTGCTCGAACACGCTTTAAGTGCATCGCTTTCCCTCAGGGGCGAGAGAAAAAAACCATGTTTTCTACAGGTAAAGGAGAGAGTTATGTTCACATTTCAAAATGATCAGCTAATTAAATATCACCACGTTTTTTTTTTATTTGTCTCCTGAGCTCCAGTGTTAACATGCAATTATCCTACACTGATTAAGCAGGTAAACATTTTAGGGCAATAAAACACAAGCTGTCTGCACACACACTGGGTTCTGCGACGGAGCTGCTTGGCTGCTGCTGAGCTCACAAAAAAAAAAAAAACACACATATCACAAAATGTCTTTGATTTTTGTTCGTGCAGATGTTGTTCGGTCCCAACCCTGCTTCATTATCCCCAAGTATGAAGTGCTCTCATTGTGCTGCAAACCAGCAAAAAAACAAAAACAAGCAACACCATGACAACTGCAGCCGGATGAAGCTATACGTTATCGCATATCCGCTGCTTACACACTTTGGCCATACTGCTGTTTTTGTATATTCCCTTTTATCATCAAATGCCTGTGAATATGTGAGGGCTGTGACTCTGCCCGCATTGCGTCATGTGCTTCTGTTATTTCTCCTTTGATTGGGTTTCCTTTGCTCTGCCAGTGAGGAACTAGGTCACCATAAACACTAACATGATTAAATCTCGGTCTAATCTCAAATAAATTAAACGGAGAGCTGTCAACGTGTTGCAAATATATCATTCATAGCTACGAGGTAATGGCACAAATGATCCGGACCAACGTGCAGCGCTCGCACAACAAAGAGGAATTCCCATATGACTGCCACGTAGGCGAGATGAGATAGCGCAGACGTCTTTTGAGTGCATCTCCTTTCTGTCTTTGAAAAAGTTGCATTTAAAAGAACTGAAAACACACAGAGAAGGTGTGAATGAAGAACAAAGGCTAAATCCTGTGTAATTATTCTCAACATTTTTTTCATTCATGCTGTGTCACAACCGCAACCTCAAGAGTTTTCATGTTTTCAGCAAAGCTAATACACTTAATGAAATAGTTCGACATTTTGGGAAATGCGCTTGTTTGCTTTCTGGCAGAGAGTTAGATGAGAAGAGTGATATCGCGCTCAATATCTGTCTGGTAAATATGAAGCCACAGCCGGGGGAAAGTTAACTCAGAATAGCACTAAGACTGGGTTTAAGGGGGAAGCCTGGTAACGAAATCCAGCTGAAGGCACCTCTGAAGCTCAATAATTAACACATTATATTTGTTTTTTTTAAATTATATATACAAGAACCAATTTGTGCAATGATAATTTACTGTTTAAGTGCTATTATTTGCTGCTGCTTCTTGGCACTGACCGGCCATTTCTCTGCTGGTTGCCTGGGAACTGCTCAAATCCAAGAAGTATTCTGGCAGATAAGCGGCTCCGAAATGGCAAAATGGCCTGCCGCTTCAGCTAGCTGCTTCCCGTAGAACCCAAAAAAACCTGTTGTGTTTTTTTTTACACTTTGGTTTCCGTGCAAATACAACAAACAAGATAAAACATGGTAATTGGTGAGCTTCAGAGGTGCTGGTGGGCGGATACCGTCAGGGCCCGGCTAGCTCGTTTCACCGCCTTCCCTCTCTGCGCTAAACTAAACGGACCTACTGGGCGGAAACCTGGCGTTCAACAGACATGACAGTGATTACAATCCTGTCATCTGTCTCTCTGGAAACAATCGTATGTCCCAAAATGTTGCACTTGTGCTTTTAGAACAACCACAAATCTACAGAAGAATAAAAAAAAAAAAAAGGTGGAGGGTGGATGTGCACCTGGGGAGTGAAAGGCCGGTGGAGAGGGGGTGTTGCACACCACCGTTTCTGCCAGCAGGTTGTTATAGGGGTTAGTGTCGTGGGTTCGGAGGAGAGGGTTAGTTAGGAGGTAGTTCCCAGTCATCCCTGAAATAACAGCAAGAGAGAGAGAGACAGAGAGGGAGAAAAATTAGGAGGAGCAGCAAGAAGACGGGAGCTTGTGCATCACGGTGGCGTAAACAAACATTCGCCGTCCAGAATCTGACACCGCAAAAAAAAAAAAACAAGATTGATGACCTGTGATCCATCTGCCTTCGATTACAGACAAAGCAGCCATAGAAACGCTGGTCCAAGCAAAGCCATCATCTAAACATACGGCTGATGTAACTGACAAACAACGTTATTGCGACAAGTGTTGACCAAAGCGTAGCAACACAATCAGCTGCAGTGTTTATGTGAAACAAATTTATCTAAACAAACTCATCCAGTCGAGACACTAGACAAAACATGTCTAAGTGGCCTGCCATGAATAATACAGTATCCCCATCATCCTCGGCGTGCTTGTGTAAATCCTCAAGAATGTAATAACTATCCTCAGTCACTTGGACGGATCGCTGAGAAACTTTGCACTGGCATGTGTCTTCTTTTTCTTTAAAAAAAAAAAATCAAAACTAATTCGGAACTACAGCCAAATCTGCACTGGCACCGCCTGAGCTTCAGGATGCCGGGATCACTCCCAAAACTTGCTCTGACCTCAGCCTGACTTTGCTCGTCTCCCTCCTCTACTTTCATCCTGACAGTCACTCCAGGATGAAAATGATTTAGAAGGCTGCTGCACAGTCGACTCTCTCCAGTGTGGGTTCGTTGCTTGAACTCAGGTCCTCATCAGTAACATTTCGCACCAGACTAAATATCACGCCTCTTTCCTGTCTCTATTTCTCTTCTTTCAGATGATCCCGGCGAGCAGGAACATGAAGGAAAAGGCTGCCAACGTAAGATACACAGGCGGCATTTAATGCTATTTTTTGATTGCCTGACGCTAAGAGAAATGCAACATTAAATCGGGTCTTATCTTTCTGCTTTCTGAGCTGCCACAGAGCCATGTAGGCTGCATCCATTGAAGTGTTTATTGTGAATTCAGAGCTTCATCACAAAGAGAATAGCGTATGTGTCTCGTCTGGTGGCGGCGGCGGCGGCGGCGGAAGAAATGGCTGCTTACCCTGGTTGAGTGTGGAGGTGCTGTTTATGTCTCCTGAGATGAAGGAGGACTCCGACTGCTTCCTCACAGTGTCGTTCCACATCCGCCTGATGCGGCTCTGGGTTGAGAAAAAAGCAGCCATTGATCAGGACTTAACACGGTGCCGCTGCTATTCACGGTTTTTTCGGCCTTCGGGATGGAGTGGCTACGCGGGCTTGTGATTCAAACCTACGCTCGTAGACCAGATTCAACTCCCTCACTGCCAGATGACATGTTCGCGGCGGGGTACAACAAAGCCCCGCATGTGTTATTGATCCAACCGATACCAAAAATGGATACGCTGGGAATCTTACGGTATGTAATTTGAGAGATCGGCCCCGAGCAGCTCCTTTTCCTCTCTATAGCAAGAGCAGAAGCAGCCGCTAAATTCCCAGAGGTGCTCTTAACATAGATCTCACAGTCACCATAAAGGATATTACGGGCGGCAAGTATGTCCAAGTCAACAATCGTCTGCTTAGTCCCTTTCGTATGGGGTCTACCTACCAACCACGACGGCACACATGGGACCAAAAGGTGGAAATGTATTTAAAAAGGAAGATTTGATGACATTAATGTGGCCCACTAATGCCACACTGTCCTCAGCTTTAACGTTAAAGTGTAAAAACTTGGATGAATTGAGAACTTTGGCTTCATGTTTTTAAAATAAACAGATAATTTGGCTTTTAAGAATCCTATTTACTTCTCTCAGGTCTTTCTGTGGCTGGTAATTTATGTTCTTTTGCCAACAAACCTGTTAAAGAGACTAAAATCAACACTCTTAAAGCTTTCCAACGTCCTCAAACCTGCCTGACGCGCTCGGCCCGAAGGCCATTCGTTCTAGAAATCTAAATAAACAAGTTAAAAACACTTATAAGAGCAATTCATTGTCAGTTTTGGTTATTTCACAGAATTTATTGACATTAAGAAAAAAAAACTTTATAAACAATATCACACTTATCCTTCAAGCCATAAAAAAATACTTTTACTGCTGAGAATGAATGAATTTAATCCGTACAGTCTTATGCCTCAGTCGACTTTCACACATGTTTTTCTAAACCCTACACCTGCATACATCAGAGTCCCGGCGGTGCACCTGTGTGGCAGATGAGTAGCGGGCCGTGGATCGAGACGTAGCCGTCTTGGCTGAGCTGTGGGAGCCCTCAGACGGCAGCGCGCCGCAGCATTGGGACTGACGGAAACATTTGCTGTACTCTTTGCGGACCTGCAGAGGAATAAAAGACAGACTGAGCGGACAGACAGACAGACGGACGGACGGGCAGGCAGGCAGCAACACAACACTCAACCCCTCGTGAGAGATGCAAATCCTAAAATCTTTATCAAATGCCATCAAGCCGACAGCGGTTTAAATGCCATATCTGTAAGGACGCGAACAACAAACACTGTCCAACATATTGTAATGTCATTGTGAGTAAGCACACCGAGATGGGTGCGGATAAGAAAGAATGTGTAAATTATCGACGGTAAATCTCAAATGAGCCACACNATAATCCTCATGTATTCCTGTTTCTAGCTTGTTTTACTGGAGAATGACTTTTGCCTGTTCTTGTTTTTTTTTATTTTATGCTCTCATCTCCTTTTGAGAAGCTTCACTTGTACTTGGACCTTTTTTTTTCTTGCTAGCTCCCTGCGGTTTGTTTCCCTGCCTGGACATTTTTTCTAATCTTGTTCATCTTCTTTTTTTTTTTTTTCTATCTCTACCTGCCTCCTTTGTCCTGCGTTCAGCTCCTCTCCACTTTGAAGCGAACTTGTTACAGACATAATGTATTTACAGTGAATATGGGACATAAAAGAAAGGTGAACGCTGACAGCGAGAAGCCTGTGAACCGTCTGCTAAAACTGGAAGTGTAGGAGATCGTTTGTCTGCAGTATAGAACATTTGAGCTGCTGCCTGTGAATCTCACTGAAGCATTTTATTAAATCTAAAGAGACTCTTTGTTTTGGCACTGTTGAAGTTATTGATTCTTTTTTTTTTTTTTTCTTCTTATCTTTGATGCACAAGTTGGACAAGTGGAATGTTTTAACTGCAAATATCTCAGGCGGTTGCACTCGGTGCGTTGCTTCTTCGTTACGATGATCACTGTTTATTATAAATCAGTCCCGCCGCCATAAATCTTTACCAGTACACCAAATGTGCATTACTCCACAGCTGAAAACAGCTCTCAACAAACCCACGATTTATTACTGTTTAAGTTTAAAACTCCACAGAGTCCAACTGTTAAAGCAAATTGTTTGACTTCTTTTAAAAAAAACCTCTTTTCATGGGATTTACTGACAAAACCAAAACTGTCGAATACCCTCAGTCGTCTTATTTTAACCCCACGCATGCATCATTGCAGATTTATTCGCCAAATAAGCAACCAGATGTCTGCGAACAAGAAAAAATTTCACATTTATTTGATATCAAACAGGAGTTGAATTAAATATCAGCTGATGATGGGCTCTTACAAAAGAAATAAAATGAACCTAATCAGTGCTGCAACAACTTTTCACACTTTCCAACCATGATCTTTTTTTTTTTTATTCCTTCTCTCCTTCTTCTTCTTCTTTTTTTTCTGAATAGTTAATAAATTAATTAGTGTCAAAAGGATGAAAAATGTCCGCAAAAAACCGCAATACCGCATTGAACGTAAGTCCTCGAACCCCCGACAATTTTCTTTCAAGTAAAATAAATTACAACGAGGATCCGATTCACTCCAAATCTGTGCATGGCCCGGTGTTAACAAATATACTACCGCCGAAAAAACTCATCATTCATGAAAAGCAAAAAAGCACTTCACAAGCAGAGACGTGAGCATGATTTCATATGGATTGATATCTCTCAAAACTTTTTTTTTTTTTCCTTTTTTTTTCATATTCAAACATACTACAACAAGTCAAGTGTGAGAGGAAAAAGCACATTTCCACCATTTTGATTAACCTTGTCTGAAGAATCTTATTAACATTGAAAGGGCATAACTACTGAATGGTTGCTGTTTCTTTCTTCTTTTTTTTTTTCAGTTTTTTTTGTTTTGTTTGACTTTTTACACTAGTGGTACAGCAAAATATATTTTCTTCAGCTGTTACTTTGACAACAGGTAAATGTGCAATAGAGAAAATATAAGGCCTGAGTCTGAATTAGTGGTTTCTTAACTTTACAGTCCTGACTGTGCAGTGGAGCCACACTAGTTCATGTTCTGTACTTCTCGACTAAAAAGACCCTGGTTCTGCAAAGTCCCCCAGGAGTATGTCAGGAGCTTCATAGTTCTTTGCTTGGAGTATTTTTTTTTTATTATTTATTTTTTTTTATCCCTTATTCTTCCGTTCCTCTTTCAGTACAACAGAAACGCCAGACTTATCTCTGACACGGCGGCCTGTGTGTTATTCTCTGCACCTCTTTAGTCCAACAGCAGAGCGTTCACAGTCCACACTTGTCTGGCCTCAGATGGATGTGTTTTGTGTGTTAATGAGATCTGTGTGCAAAAGTCATTTATTCATTCCTTTTCCCACCCAACAACTTTTCACCTCCTGTCCTAACAGGAAGGGCATGTGGAGTGCGGAGCCGGCCTCGTCGGCTCTCTTGACATCAACCGAAAGCGCCCATCTGTTCAAACCTGTGCAAACAAAGGCGGCCCACTCAGAGGCTGGTAATGAGTTGCATTTGTCCGTCGCTGGGCGCCTCTCCTTCCTGCGCACAGTCTTCGTTGTTGGGCGGGATGATGCACCCGTCGCTGGTGCCTCGGTTTATGTGGTAGTAGGACAGCGGCTGCGGCGCGTCGCCGAGCTCGGGCATGCTTTTATGATACGCGTCCTCGCTCTCGCTTTGGGGCGAGGGAGAGAGCTCGTCCTCCTCCTCCGGGGGGTACGGCGAAGCTGAAGGCGAGGGAGAGTCTCTCAAGTTTGGCATGCTGGTATAAAGGGAGTCTCTGTTATTGTTGGGTGACTGGGAGCCCATGTCCTCCACTGCGGTAACAGTCTCGGAGCCATGGCCATTCTGCCCCTCGAGGCGCCTGGGGGCCTTCTGGGCGCTGTAGAGCAGGGAGTGAGTCCTCTGGGGCAGGAGGGGGGCCTCCAGCGCCTCCTTGTGGTGGGGGTGCAGGAGCAGCTCCAGGGTGGCGTGGCCTCCTCTTCCACTTCCTCTCTGGGGGGATGAGGCCTCGGCGTGATCCGCCACGATGGCGTCATCCTCGCTGCCGCTCCCACCCCCACCTCGGTCCACTGTCACCCTAGTCTGGGGAGGCAAAGCTCTGTCCCGCTCCCTCGGGGCGTCGCGACCTTTGGGAGCCCCGCGGGGCCTTAGGTTGTTGTGGACAATCTCAGATATGATCATCTTCTCAAAGGCGGCATCGTCCAGGTTGAGGCCCCCCAGGTCACCCGGGGCTCGAACGCCCACGGCCTCGTAGTCGTCGTCTCGCAGGGAGTAGCTGTTGTTGAAATTACCATTGAGGGGGAGGGTGTCCATGGCACTGATGTCCCTGCTGTTGCTCAGAGAGTGCTGTCCTGAAAGAAAAGGCAAAAGGAGCAGGTGAGACATGAGTTTTCCCCGTTTGAGAGAACAATACAGGCTCCACTACACCATCCACATGTACTTGATACTGCTCAGGACACTTCACTCTTGTGCTCTTTGATCTCAGGGTTAATTTTAATTTTATACAAAATACAAAAGCTTTTTAAAATTCAAAGGAAACCCAATTATCTTCCCACCATGTCCATCCTCATTATTGCTGAATATCATTATAGCCAATCTAAGAGATTATCCTGAACAATATTGGAGAAATGAGAACAAAAGATGACTTTAAACTGAAAAAAAAAAAAGAAATATATAGAACGGCAACACGTTGTAAAGTAGCTCATGACCAGATAACAACACAGCAGCGGATAAACGGCCAAGGATGGGAAAGAAAAGAAGAAAAAAAAGAGAAAAGTACAAGCTGATGAGGAAGTGTTGTGACATTAACAATGAATAAAACATTCCACCTGTTAAAAGAAGGCAAGACAAAAGAATAATGTCAAACACAGATGGCCAGCCACCTCTCTGCACTGGGGCCCCACGAGCACAGCAACAGCCCCCAAACACACACACACACACACACACACACACACACCACACACACCACGACAGACAGGCACGGTGCAATGACTCACTTTGCCACCACTCACATCAAGTGTGTCTGCTCAGGCTATCTGGCCTAAGAACAGCTGATTTGCAAAAAAAGTAAAACAGATGCTTTTTTTCAATTGCAGCAGAAACAACAAAATCACTGAAATAAGAGAAAAGTGGAAGCTCGTAACATCCAGCCTGGATTCAGTCCGTCCAACTCCGATTGTGTCCTTGCAATTAGCCGTAATTCCGCCCGTGTTATTATGCTTTTTTTTTATTTTTTTTTGTTGTTGCGCCAATTGTTGTAGGTTAGATGTGAGATTGAAAGTGGTGCGTTTACCAGTTTTGAGAAAAGGACAAATCAAGGACAACTGAATCCTGGACTCAGCAGGTGAAAGGGTTCAGCAGCAAGCACAGTCTACTTCAAAAATTCTACAGCACAAGAAGGAACATTTCCTGATGAAAATATTTCTTTCTGAATGACTCATGATGCTTTTCTCCTTCCTGAAGTCTATCAATTTTTGTGAACAAAACACACACACACACAGAGGCATACAACAGATTACTCTAATTTCCTGCAGCCCTATGACTAAACTCAAGTAGCAGGATGAAAGTGAAAAGGGCTAGTTTGATTTGATGAGGATTTTTTATTTACTGGGTACGCTGCGAAGCGGTAAGTGAAAGGCTGACATTTTGTAGGGTGAGGGTGGTGTCGTCACAGGCAGTCTTTGCACACACACACAAAAAAAAAGGGGAAACCGTAGTCTTGGTTTCAAACGAAAGTGTCAGAAAATGGATGATAGCAACTGAAAAAAAAAAAAGCTCTAAAAACAACATCAAAGACATTTCTAAAAAGAGTGAAAGGAGCGCAGAGAGCAAAAGGGCAAAAAGAGGTGGTGCTGCCGGTGGTGGAGGGATTATTAGACACTTCTCTGAATAGACGCCACTTCCACATTTGCATTTGTTTATGCGCGGGCTGTGATTTTATTGCAGACAGGTATTGTCTACTGGGAGAAAGGGGAAATGATGTGAACAGAATTCAACTGGACATGGCGACAGCTGCACTCTGGGAACCGTTCCAGCAGAGATTCATCCAAGATGTTCTCCTTACCGATTTTACTGCATCGGACGAACATCTGCAGAGTATTACTTCGTATTAA